GATAGATAGATAGAGTTTCACAAGAAACTTGTCCACTGCTGAGTTTTTCCACAGGTGGCAGCTCTGTCAGTGGTTTGTTGCTGTCAGCCGGTGACAAGCTCCGTGTCGACACATGTGACTTTACAGGTTACAAACAAACAAACAAAAAGGTCCTGTTGTCCTTTTGACCACACTAGACTTCCTGCTTCGTAGGAACTGCGTGTCCTGGGTGTGTTGTGTGCAAGCTGTGTTGGACACAAACTGAAGCTACATTCACTTTCCCTACCAAAAAAAAAGGCACATCACAAAACGTCCTATAAATGATTTCAATCAAGCACTGAGGTCGACGTTATGGCGAGTTTCGTGCACCCATATTTAAGGAAATGTAWTTTTTGCTTAAACATCTCAAAAGGACCAATATTAAGCATTCGGAGTTGGTCACATCGCTTACAGACAATAGTTCGCCTCAGGTCACCTCACACAAACCAAGTCTGGATAAAATTACTCTGGCTGCAAAACATCGGGGAGCTTCGGCTACTTTTATTTTGAAAATCCACAATGCAACTCCCATTTGCTTTCATAGTTTTGACCCCAGTTTTTTACGAGTTAAAATAATGCAATTGTAAAAGTGTATAGTAGTGTACTCACTTTCTGTCGGAGATGAGCAGAGCAGTTTCTCTGGGTCACGGCGTGACTGTARTACTCCCACAATTCGGTCGAAAACAAAAAAAACTTTCCCTTTGTTGCATTCTCCGCCAGCAATTTTCGCTCAGTTACTGTGTTTCCATTTTAGCGGCTGCGAGTTTTGAGCAAAAAAATCTTACAAGAATAAAATGTTAACGCCTCGATGGTACTACTCTTCGAGGTGTGTTTTTACTACTGACTTGGAAGCGGTTTGTATTTTTAGAGCCAATAGCTTCTGGACAAGTCTTTACTCACAGCTGCTCTGGGATCTGCACCGTGCCCGGTGTTCTTCACAGGAACCACCCAAGTCGCCCGTTCATTGGTCAGGATTAAATTAGGGCGTTGTCAATGATATGCTCTCCCTGTCGATTGGCTAGATTTGTTGTCAATCATCATCCCTTCCTGAGAAAACAACAGTACCGTTTGAAGATGAAAGCTTTACTGGAAACAGCGTTCACAAGCAAGATGTAAACAYAAGTGAGTTGTTCATTTAAAGTGTCAGACGGTTCACTTTTTTAAGTGATAAGAGGTCAACTTTATGAATATATGAGTAGAATGTTGTGCATTTCTTTAACTCTTTTTGTGCCTTTTTTAAATAGTAATATTGAAATACTTTATGTAGTAATATTTGCTAAAAGTTCAGTAACTTCACACATATAAAAGTTCCAAAACAAATGTCAACAATTTGTATTGTTTATAATCAACTTGTGTGTGCATAGTCTGCTGAAAATGTAATGCTATAAATAGCTTTTTTGTCATTTTTAAATTACAAATGCGTGTRTATATATTTAAAAGTAAATGTTTTTATATATTAATTGTGATGCAATTAATTATGCATCTAAGTTTAGCACGGAGGTTGTATGGTAAAGTGTTAAAATATCGCCCCCTACCAGTCAAATTACTATAAAAAGCAACAAGTAGTTAATATTTCATTAAAAACAAATGGTTAACTCGGTCACTTTTACAGATATTGACCTAAATTTTAAAGTGGTATTCGCTGAAACTGATTCTTAACATACAAGATTGTGTAAAATCTTAGTTTGAAAATTTCCTATAGACTTTTTGTGGTCAAGAAAACATCTCATGAACCATTGCGCAAAGCTTGACAAAACTTTCAAAAAATACTAATTGTACATGCGTCTAAACCTGATTACCTTTTGGAACTAATCCGAATCAATATGGTCRCCATCGCCAACTTGGAAAACACAAAACTGGTAATAATTCAGTCATGTTTTTACAGATACTGGGCCCAAATGTGGTGTGATAGTAGCTGAGGATCATTCACAACACACCATCTTCTAATCCTGACGTGCAACATCACATAAGAATGCCGTGGACGTTATCTTGAGCAAAAAAACAGATACAAGTCTGTAACATCTCATCATAAATCTTAGTCTAAAACTCTGGCAAGAAAGAAGCAGCCAATACRCAAAGATATGAGCAAATTTAAATAATTTCATCTGATTCTCCAAAGAAAAGGAGACAAGAAGGAGTGTCTGCTTATGTGAAAAAGTTTCAGCAATGTGTCAACAGTACTTTCATTTGTGGGTTGTTGTGTCCACTTTAAAGTGAGTTGTGTTAGAAAATGCTGAGCCATGGCTTCTTTTGTCCTCAGCCTGGGACACAATGAGAGATGTATTGTGTGTTAACAATCGGGGCCCAACTGAGGCCCAGCAGCCCTGCAACACTCCTCTGACAGACATCCATTCATTCTGAACCAGCTCATTATAAACTCTACAGGGACAAAGGTCTCTGGAAACACCTGGTGATTGTTGAACTCAGGTGTTTCAGTCAGGCTGTGAGCTGTAGGACTATTATCTCCTTTGAAAGGTAATCTTAGTGTATCGTCATGTTGAGACGTTCTGAATGTTTTTTGCAACAACACTTTGAGTTAGGCCACTCTATGTTCCAACGTACCTGTGCCGCAGAGTACAAAGCAAGGACCGTAAAGACACGGCTTGACTTTATAAATGCTCTGCAGAATGAACGGTGCCAGAAACACTGTGGAAAGCATGCAAAAGTGTAGCATTGTACTGATGCAGGTACAACTCTTTCTATTTTGTCGTCATCCATTATCTTTACCCAATTCTTCCTTTCTGATCCCCATGTCCAGAAGTCCCTGTGTGAGAGGCGGGCTACAGGTCGCAGGTCCATCACAGGGCCACAGACAAACCAAACAGCCATTCATATTGTCCTGATGCATCTCAGTAATCTAGGTAAAAAATCAAAAAGAAAAAAATTGCATAGGTCTTCTGGACAGGTTCTTCTCTAATGAAATGTTTCATTAGAGAATAACCCGTCCAGAAGACCTATACAATTTTTTTTTTTTCTTTTTGATTTTTTACCTAGATTACTGAGATGCATCAGGACAATATGAATGGCTGTTTGGTTTGTCTGTGGCCCTGTGATGGACCTGCGA